ACCCCTAAAACTATGGCACTCTGCCTTCTAACCCCAAACCCTAAATATACTAAAGACCCTGAAACTCTAACCCTAACCCTTTCATTACCCTCAAACCCCTAATACTATGGCACTCTGCCTTCTAAACCCCAAACCCTAAAGACCCTGAAACTGTAAACCCTGTGCCAGGTCTTCTTCATCCTCGTCTTCTCGGAAAAAACATTAAAAAATGTAGTTTTTTTGTGTGTTTTAAAGTTTTTTAAAAATTTTAAAAGTTGTTTCAAGTCTTTAAAAGTCTTTCAAATTCTTTTTAAAGTTTGTAAAAGCTTTTAAAAGCGTTTAAAAGTCTTTTAAAGTCTTTTTAAAGCTTTTAAATGTATTTTAATGTTTTTAGAAGTCTTTTAAATATTTTAAAAGCCTTTTAAAGTTTTGAAAAGTCTTTTAAAGTTTGCAAAAGTCTTCTAAAAGTTTCTAAAAGTCTTTTAAAGTCTTCTAAAAGTTTTTAGAATGTTTTTTCTTGCATTTGAAAGTTTTTAAAAGTCTGTAAACGTCTTTAGAAGCCAACCCTGTCGAAAAAGCCCTGTGGATCTAAACCTTGTGGTTCTGGTTCGGTGCAAAAGGGCAATGATAATATTTAGGGTACCCAAAACTGGACCATAGTTTTGACAACCACCTATTCAATTAAGGTTACGGCTCGAGTTTTCAGGGTTGGGGTTTCGACTCGATGCTAGCGTTTAAGATGCAGTTGGTGTAGTTTTACCATCCACACCTGCCCTGTCTTCCTACGTTGTAGTTGCCTCATGAACCGGCATTCCCAGGTCACTGTGAACTAGTGCACTGCCCTACTAAGCCTTAAACCCTAAACCCCAAACCCTAAACCCTAGACCCCAAACCCTAAACCCTAAAGCCCTCAACTCACACCCTAAACCCCAAACCCTAAACTCCAAGTTTGTAACTCTACAGCCCTGCACCCCTAAGCCCGAACCCCTCAACCCCTAAACCCGATTTCTGGAAACTTAGGGGTACTTAGAAAGATTTTTTTAATTTTTGGTTATTATAATCCCTAGGAAACAGCTAAAATTGTAATTTTTGCTAGGGTTCTAAGTTCAGTATAGGAAATAGCCCCCCGACGCCTAGATCAACCTGCTCATTGTGGTTGTCTTTGTGCTCGAGATCGTGCTCAAGGACCCGCTGTGGGTGATTAGAGCACGGGCTTGACTTAGGTTTAGGTCTTTAGTAAAACCCTAAACCCTAAACCATTTAGGGTTTTGGTTTAGGGTTTAAGTAATCCTTAAGCCCTTCGGCCATGTTAGAATATTAGAAACCCTAAACACTCTAATCTCTTGCAGATTCCGTGAGTAGGCATTCGCGTAGGCATGTACATTCACACATGCCTTTGCACTCATGCATACATCCATACATGCCATACATGCCTGCACACAGGCATGCATACATATATATATATATATATATATATATCCCTTTCGACAGGCACAGACAGTTGCATACATATATTCAGACATACACACCGACACACCTCAGCCTTCAGGCAAACACACCCACCCGCCTACCCACCTACCTACCTACCTACCTACCTGCCTACCTACACACACACGCACATACATGCATGCATACATACATACACACCTACACGCAGAAGAGGCCATCTTGAAGCAATTTAATTTCCGTGCCCACATATGCTCGTATGTATTGTTTAATACGTCTGTGTGTGCATACACTTCCATATAGTGACAGCTTGGCTAGACGTCTTGTTGAACACTGAAATGCTTGCAGATGATGGGGCTTGGCATCGTCGGCTTCTTCTGCGGAAGTGACTTCCGGTGGAATCGCTCCTGGTCAGAAAAATTTTCAGTATCGCGCCGGAAATACTGGTTGTCGCGCGTTTTCACTGAGGGTTGAAGAGTGATGGACTGGTTCGGTTGAAAGTTTGAGGTTGTCCGCGTGTTCCCTCAGCCGCTATAACGGTAAAGCCAAAGACTCTGAGCCCTGCCTACCTCTGAACCCTACACCCCTTTAAACGTAAAGCCTTGCTAATTGCTAACCCTACTACTATAGACTCCTTAGGACTTGTTTGATTTTTGATCATTTAAAACCCAATGAAAATATTATTTTGATTATGGTTCTAAGTGGGGTATAGACTGAACGTCAGAACCGTAGAACTCTAAACCAGAAACCCTCGTACAGAGCGCATGGAATCCGACAAAACAACTACCTGGACCATTAAATGTAGTAATTTCCTTTTTCGGTTGCCTTAGTTTACAGGACCCTAACCATAAAGTAAGTCATCCAAGAAAAGATACTGCTTTTGATTTAAGGGTCTAGGTAGCTTAGGGACTGAGCACCTTAGCCCAAACCAGGTTTACCTTTTCAATTATGGTATGGTTATACCTCTTTGCAGGGTCTAGGTAGCCCCCAACAGATCCAGGTCTCGACTTTCTGATCGTCGTGGTCTCCACGGGGGAGTGCCTTGGATGTTCAGAACCCTAAACCCTAAAGGCCTTAAAATCCTACAACCCTGAGGCCCGAAAAACCCTAAAAACCTCAAAACCCTAAAAGTGCTTGGGAGCCAGGATTGGTATTTGGGAGTTTCCGAAAATAGGGGACCCTAGTATAGTACCCTAAATAGTAGGACCCTTATTATAAGGACAACCAAATATGGTACCCCTAATTTCGGAAAGTCCCATTTCATGTTCAGGGTGGTCGTGTTTTGGACCTGGGCCCCGGGACCTTCTATAACTCAGGGCTTGTACCTACTTGATAGGGTTCAGGGTTTTTGTAGGTTTTAGGGGACTTAAGCAGAACTCTAGGGGTTTAGGGTTTAGGGTTGAATTAGATAGCCAATGGGGCAACTTTAAACTCTTCGGCCATACATCTTGGGTTTACCTTAGACAGTTTGAACTTTTCTGGCCCCGCTTATTGATTGAGAGAGTTTACGTCTGAGGAGCCAGGTTTCAATGTTTAGGGTTAGGGACCCAAAAGGCACATAAGCATAAGCCTTTTATGGGGATATCCCTATCATATTGGGCTTCTTTATAAGGGGGTTTATATGGGATATCCCTATCCTAATTTTTGCTTATGTGCTTTTTTGGGGCCCTATAGGGGTTCAGTGGCCAGGATTTAGTGTCCAGTACTGTACATGCATAAGTACAACTTTGGTAGCTAGCACGTTGGTTCCTGATAGCAGTTCGAAGCAAGCGGCTGATACAGGCACCTACATCTTCAGAGAGAAGTTAGGGAAGATCTGAGCGAGTGGATTCAGGTTGTGGCACTGAGTTTAGGGTCAGAGTTTAGGGTGTGGCAACAACTACATATGTACTAAAAATTCAAATTGAGTTAGTCTATTGAATAGACTTATTGGCTGCATCTGGTGTATGCTCACTGGGTGGTTTGCATGCCATCTTCGTCCTCCTTGTGCTAGAGAAAAGTCTGGGGAAAGTGAGTCCATTCAAGGTGGCTTGCTTCATTATTTGCTGTATTTGTCGATTGTTCACTTGGTGGTTTGCATGCCATCTTCTTCGTTGTGCCAAGAACAGGACCCTAAACCGTAAACCCTAAACCCTAAACCCTATAAACCCTAAACTTAAACCCCAAACCCTAAGGTGGATTGCTTCATTGCACGTAGCATTGGGCTGTGTGCATGGGCCTTCAGAGTCAATTGCTGGATATGTTTAGGGTTTAGGGTTTAGGGTTTTAGGGTTTAGGGTTTAGGGTTTAGGGTTTATCCAGACCCCTAGACAAACAGAACTAGCGGAACGACTAACCAGCGAAGAGTAGAATTGCTCTATGAACCCTAAACCTAAATCCCGAAACCCTAAACTGCCGCAAACCCTAAGCGCAAACAAAACCTAGAAGAAACACGGCAATCCCAGGATCGTGCTCGAGCTTTGGAGCACAGCCATTGGTGGCGCAAATGCGCTGCGTGGGCTGCGTTGGTAGAATATGTTATCGAGGTTCACATATTGGTGGGTGGAAGGGCTTCAAGTTTAGGGAAACCTATCTACACATATATATATATATATATATATATATGTCTGTATGTTTAGATAAGAATTTGCCCTGAACCCCTAAACCCCGAACCCTAAACCGCTAAACCCAAATCCCCAAAACCTTAAACCTTCAAACCTCTAAACGAAAGTCTCCTTGAAAATTAGTTTTCATTTTTGTTCATGTAGGGTTTAGGGTTTAGGAACCCAGGAGAATATTAACAATGACATTTTTGTTATGGTTCTAAGGATGTATAGTAAAGCATAAACCATCAAGGCTACGGTATTTTCAAACCCGTCCCAGCCCAGGTGTGTTTGGTGGAGACCAATGAGTTCAAACGTATAAATGGGAGTTTCCGAAATCAGGTGTACCTTGTTTGGGGGCCTTTGTATAAGGATCCTACTATTTAGGGTGCTACGTTAGGGTTCCTTATTTTCGGAAACTCCCAAGTGTGACATAGGAGTCGGAATGATTGGCTCTACGCCTTGGGTTTCTTAGTATAACTACTCTTTGTTACATACCCCAGACCGCAGTAGAAAGGCTGGCCCTTCAATAAAGTAAGGGATCCTCCTCAATGATCGAGCCGAGTAAACCCTGAACAACTCCCTTGACAACCCGCGTGACAACCCTTGTTGCCAAACCCTGCTGAAAGTCTATAGCGACCTATCAATACCTGTACAGCCCCCCATTAAAAAGAAAGTAAAACTCATAATGAAACCATGTATAGTCATGTGTATATATATATATATGTGAAGATGGCTAGATAGCTAGTTAGATATACTTAGATAGATAGACAGTCCGATTGATAGATAGATTATCAAAATAGCCCAAAAGCCTTGTATAGCATGGTCTTTGGGCTCAAAGCCTTCATATATGAATCCTTAGATCCCTAGGGATAGAAAGTCCGATTCGAGGAGCCACCTGCGAATCGTCCGGACGATGAGGATCGCCAGGGCTCTGCGGGGCATCCGCGTGATGAGGCTTTTCAGGCTGGTTGTCTGGGTTCCTGTAAGGGTTTAGGCTTTAGGGTTATATAAGTTCCTTAAAGTACCTATATAGGGACCTCTTTAAGGCTTAAGTATCTACTATAAAGCTACATGGAGCCTTTGGGTTAAGGAATTTAATATAAGTTCCCACAATAGGTTTCTACAGTAAATAAGATGGTTCCTTATTATCGTAGCTTAAGTTCAATCCCTTAACAAGAACCCAGTTGTAAGTTTAGGCTTTGTGGTTTGATTCTACGTGCCTCGATAATTTGAATAGGGCTTTGGGCCACCTTATAGTGCATAGCTGCAAAACTGTAGTAAAGACTTTAAAAAGTAGTGCTGGTAATCATTCAGGCTTCTGTGGCACGGTAGCAGAAGGGTTTCTACCCACAGAACGCAATACCCCTTAATCAGGAATACACCTTAAATCATAAATGATTTAAGGTATATTCCTCAATTAAGGGGTATTGGAATCTTTGGGTGTAGCGTTTCTGCAAGGGTTCTGGGGTTTTGCGGCTTCGTGTTGCAGGCAGAGGTTATTGGGGCCCCAGAAAGCACATAAGCAACAAATTAGGATAGGGATATCCCATATAAAGCCCCTTCTGATGAAGCCCAATAAGGTAATAAAATGCTTACGCTTATGTGTTTTTCAGAGTCGTTAGGTTAAAGTGTAGGGCGTGTAGGGTTTAGGTTTCATGGCTGGGGGACCAGCCTGCGGCAGGGTTGATCTTAAGGGTCCTGATTCTTTCGGGACCGTCTAAATTAACCAGACCCCAGAGTGTAGTACCCTTTTTTGAACACCTGTTTCATGTTCGGAACCTATCATCAGAAACCGGTACACACAAAAAATGCCAATTCAGACTTTCGAACACCCTGACCCCTCGATGAGATGTGTAGGGTTCAGGGTTTCGGGGATTCCTGACTTGTCAGACGCCGTTCCGATTTTACGCGGTTTGAATTTCTTCCTTGCGCTATATTGTTAGGCTTGTTGTCGGGTGCTACTACGATTGAGAGTTGGAGTTAGGGGCTTCGATTGTTTAAACTATGGTATTGGGTTTTGACTTGGGTTTAGGTTGCTTCAGCTATAGTCTATAGTGTTAGGGTTGGTTTTGGTGTCTAGGCTTCGAGGTCCAAGTGCGGTTTAGAGCCTAGGTTGTAACTTAAACCCCTAAACCAGGTCCCAAAGCCATCAACTCTGCTCTTTGAGTGCGTCTGGTGATCTCACAAGTCCGAGTTTTGAGGGATCCGAAACCATCAGGGACCAAGGGGGAGCTTCCGGGTCGAGTGAGGACAACTCTGAAGCCCAAAAGCCCGAAGTGCTACACCCTAAACTCTAAACCCCATAAAGTTGGAAACCGGATTAAGGCCAAATAGTGCTGGGATGCCCTTTACATTACTCTTAAGGATTGAGGCTATAAGGTTTCCAACTTTTGGGCTTCTACTGTAAACTCTCAACCCTGGAGCCCGAAACCTTGTAAACCCTTTACCGCGCTTCAAAAAGGGTGAACATCAGCTTTACCTCAGAAGGGGCCCCCACCCTGTAATAGTGGCATAATAGGAATATAATGGGGCCCTATTATATTCCTATTATGCCACTATTACAGGGCGGGGGCCCCTTGTAAGCTTTGCCTTAAACCCTTAAGCCCGAAAGCTGGTATATCTTCAACCGCCCTTTCGGGTGAACATCAGCTGTCAGCCCTTTGTCCTTACCCCTAAAGCCCGAAACCCTGTAACAAATCTTAAGCCGCCCTGTTGGGATGGCGCACATTAGCTGTCCCAATGGATCAATGTACCCAAATAGTATATACTAGGTGGCAATTTCCCTTATGGTTCCTATAGAGGTACCTCTTCATAAATACTTTTCAGAGCCCCAATACTACAACCCAGTATACTTTGGCCCCAAAGTACCAAGGGTTAGGTCAAGGCTTGAGTATGTACTTTTTGAGTACACAGATCCTCTGGGGTGTCAGCAGGTATGTCAGCGCCCTGCGCACCTTGATGCTCTCCATCATCTCCACCGCCGGGCCACACATCTGAACCTGATGTTTCCCTTGTTTTTTGTTTGTGGGGGTAGTTAGGATTTAGGGCGTTGTTTTTGTTTGTGAAACTTGTGTTGCGAGGAGGGGGTGTCAGAAACTAACCGTGAATGAAACCCATATCCCTGGGCCCTAAACCCTAAGCCGCAGTTTAAAGTAGCTTAAACCCTAACCCGCAATTTCTAGGATGCCCAGTAGTACCCTAATTCCCTTTTGTAGTCCTAGATTCCCTACAAAGTTACCCAGTACCAAAAAGGGAGCCCTTTTGATTCCCAGGTTACTGGGCATCCTAGATTGCGATCTGGGAAAGTATCCCCCGCACCACTACCTAGGACCCTAAACTCTAAACCCTAAACCCTAAGCCCCCGGGGCCTTTCGAATGGCGCCGGTTATGCTTCTGTGCTTTGGGGTTTCGTTTTTTGTGTTCCGGGTCTAGGGGTTGAGGCCCAGGGTGCTGTGCTGAGTTTGATGATTGTAGTATCCTTAAGGGAGGGGGGTCCAAGGGGGGTATATAGCCTAGTGATCCCTAATTCTCCCCAGTACTCCCTAAGGTTCCCTTACAGTCCGCTAAGGATTCCTTATACCCTCCCCCCTTGAACCACCCTCCCTTAAGGATCCTATAAGATGACGGGTGGCCACGGAACAAGGCGCTCTCAGAGTTTAGTTTGCAGTTTTAGGATCGACCTTCGGACCCTATGCACCCAGACCTTCCAAAATCCCTTAGTTAAGGAATATACCTTAATTCATATAAGGGGTCCTATTGTAATTTAAGGTAGATTCCTTAGTTAAGGGATTTTGGAAGGTCTGGGCAACCCCTATAACCCCCTAAACCCTCCCTGAACCCTAAACCCTTCAACCTGACCATGAAGAGCTCCTCATAGGGTTCTTAGATGCAGTTTCCTTCTTGCCGGTAAGCTAGGATGCCCAGTAGTACCCTTATTCCCTTTTTGTAGTCCTAGGTTCCTTATAAAGTTACCCAATACCAAAAAGAGAGGCCTTTTTATTCTTAGGTTACTGGGTACCCTAGTAAGCCTAAACCATCCTTAGCCCTGAAGTTTGAACAGCAGCGAAGGTCTCTGTTCTGGACCCTCTTGCTGCTGATCTTGCTTTTCTACAGCTCTTCGGCGTGGAGACGACTTTGCGTGTGAAGACCCCTTACCTTAACCCTGAATATAAGGTGCCTTATTATGATTTCCTTATACAAGTCCTTAAAATGGTAGGTCCTTCAGGGTTAAGGTAAGCCATGCCTAGTAGTACAGTAGGTAACCTTTAACCTTTTTGGGGGTAGTGTAGTCCCTATATAATCAAAAAGATCAACCTTTTGGTTCCCCATGATCCCCGACAAGTAGGTAAGTGTTTTAGGCTTCAGCCGTAGAGTTTAGCTATATGGCTTTTTGGTAAGTGCTGAGTTGTTTTGCTTTTCTTGGGATGGTGCTTTCTGCACAGGCCCTTCAAGGACATGTTTATTCGTTACCATCTTGGGGGAATCAAGTTTGGGTTCCATTCAAGAACTAGCTTTGTGCTCTTCAGGGCTTGGGAAGTTTTGGGGTTTCGGGGCATATACGCAATGGCAGCACTGGACTTGTGTTGCTGAGGGTGTTGCAAGGCTGCACAGGGCATGTGCAATGCTATCAGCGCAGGGACCACAACACGCAAACACAAGAAGTTTTTGACAGCTGATGTTTCAATGCTTTTCGGGGCCCTTGTTCCTCCAACGACGAACCCAGCCCTCAAGCCCGAAGCCCTTAACCCTAACTACACCCTGTCTTGGCTTCATATGCACTAAACCCTACCTAGACCCTTAAAAGTAGCACCATTTATTGGATGACTTACTTTGTGGTTAGGGTCCTATGAAATCAAGGTAACAAACAAAGAGGTGCCAGATTTAAAGGCCTAGGAAACCGTAAACCCCAAACCCTGAACCCTAAACCCCAAAACCCTAAATTCTGAGCCTTGCCCAGACGACCTCTCCCTACTCCCACAACCGAAGCCCCAAACAGCAAAAGCTTCTTCCTTGAGCTCGGTTTAAGGGTGTAGGGTATAGGGGTTTAGGGTTTAGGGTTTTGGTGGGGAGGCCATGGCAGGAACTGCAAAAGAAGCTGCAGGTGACTAACAACTGGGCTTTGAAGTACCATACTTTAATACTGTTTTCTTAAAGGAGCCCTTATGAAATAAAAGTTTCCCAGACCTTCCAAAATCCTTTAATTAAGGAATATACCTTAAATTATAATAGGATCCCTTATATGAATTAAGGTATATTCCTTAATTAAGGGATTTTGGAAGGTCTGGGTTACTCCCTGGTTACTTAAAAGCCCAGACAAGGCAATCGAGCGGACTTTAGTTCTCCTCGCTGTTGCCAAGCTTTGAAACCAACTTACAAGTTCATCTATACCCTCCTTACGACGCCCCTCATTGATTCTGTGAGAACAGCGGAAACCAGGGATTAAAGACCCTGTAAGTCTTTGTCAACGCCGTAGGAAATGTTTTGAGAAAATGGCCGCCTACAACCTTTCGGCTCCATTTGGAAGCTTCCAGCTCCGATGTGCAACATAATCTGGGACCAAGGGTCCGAGATTAAACCCTACTTACATAGTGAACGGGGGAACTTTAAACTTTTGGCCTTGTATATTAGCTGAATGGCTGAAATCTTAGAAAGTTTGAACTTTTTGGGGCCCGGTCGTTGAAGAAGAGAGCTTAAGCTCCAAACTCTATAAACTCCGAAACCCTAAGCAATTACAGTTTAGGAAATGCTGCGTAGGCCACATGGTTTCGAGATTATGGTTCGCAGTGAGGCCAAATCTCGGCCCGAAAGCCTCAGCCCTAATCACGGGTTTAGGTTTTGGGGTTTAGGGTTTACTTGGAGGCCCTTTTGACTTAGTAAGTAGGGTTAATAAGGTGGGTTATGGAGATTATAATGGGGTTGCTAGGGGATACTAAGTAGACTTACTAAGTCAAAAGGGCCTCCAAGTAGGGCTTTGGGACTTACGGTTTAGGGCTTTAGGGCTTAGGGTTTGGGGCAGTAGGCGTAGAGTGTGGGGGGTTTATGGGTTTAGCAGTCAAAGTTTATGTATCGGGCTTTAAAGCAGGCCTGGCACATGCTTCTAAGTCCTACACCCTAAACTGCGTAGGGCTTCGTTTACGGCGCATAGAGGTTAGAGAACCCCCAGACCACAAGCTCCGAACAAGAGACCTTAAAACCTAGGATGTGAATCCCGAGAACTAAGAGGCTTTAAAATCCTAAACCCTAAACCCCTAACGCGAAACTCTAAACCCCTCAACCCTACACCGGTAACCCTAAACCCTAAACGACTAATCCTATACCCCCTAAGCCCTCACCCCTAAACTCCTAAATCCCAAAGCCTAAACTCTAAACCCGAACCCGGAAGGATTAATCCTAAATCCCAAACCCTAAACTCTAAATCCGAAGCCCCAAATCCGAAGCTCTGATCACCCAGAATCCAAGGGTAAAAGGAGGGACCCTTAATAAGGACCCCTCGGTCTATACCCTTCATCTAGCTATTATATAGCCCACGATATAGCCCATTATAGGGTACTTGGAGGCCCTTTTGACTTAGTAAGTAGGGTTAGTAAGGTGGGTTATGGGGATTATAATGGGGTTTCTAGGGGATACTAAGTAGACTTACTAAGTCAACAGGGCCTCCAAGTAGGGGTCCCCATTAAGGGTCCCTCCTTTTCCCCTTTGACTGGAGACTCCAGGTAAACCCTAAACCCCCAAACAGTCTAAACCCATTATACCCAGACCTGCCAAAATCCCTTAATTAAGGAATATACCTTAATTCATATAAGGGGCCCTATTCTAATTTAAGGTATATTCCTTAATTAAGGGATTTTGGAAGGTCTGGGTAGGGTAGGGGTCCCTCCTTTTCCCCTTTGCGAACTAAGAGGCTTCGCCGTGATCTTGACGCAGACGGTCAGCGACTACTGCCGAGATCAGCAGGTGAAGGCATCTTGGCGAAAGGCTTCAGGGTTTTAGGGTTTTAGGGATTAGGGTTTCGGGTTTTGGGTTTAGGGTTAAGTTTAGGGGTTTAGGGATTAGGGTTTGGGGTCAGGATTGAGGAGTTTTTATGGGTTGAATGTTTTTAGGGATAAGGGTTTTGAGTTTAGGGTTCTGGGCTTTAGGGGTTTAGGGTCCAGGGTTTTAGGGGTTTAGGTTCTTTCGGGATTAGGCTTTGGGTTCATGGTTTTGGCTTTAGGGTTCAGGGTTTCGGCTTTAGGGTGCAGGGTGCAGGATTTGGGGTTTAGGTTGTCGGGGTCACTTACGGGATATGATATATGGGAAGGCCGGGCACGTTGAACCCGAAAAGCCATTTTCAAGCGGTTAAGGGTTTAGGGTTTCATGAATTCGTAGATGCAGCCTTGAATGCATGCAGAAACGAAAGAACTGCAAACAACAATGTCAACTGCAGACGACACAGTCCATAGACTAAGCACAAAGAAGCCCCCAAACCCTGAACCTTAAGCCCTAAACCTAAACCCTGAACCCTACTTGGAGGATCATGGGACTTAGTGGGTAAGGTTACAAGATGTTATAAGTAGCTTAACTGGGGTTATAAGTAGTTATAAGTATAGTTACCCTAATTATTACTGAGTCCCATGATCCTTTAAGTAACTAGGATGCCCAGTAGTACCCTTATTCCCTTTTTGTAGTCCTAGGTTCCTTATAAAGTTACCCAAGACCAAAGAGAGAGGCCTTTTTATTCGAGTCCCATGATCCTTTAAGTAAACCCTATAGAGCCCTTTTAGGACCCCTTTAAGGAACCCTAACCTTACTAAGTCCCATGATCCTTTAAGTAAACTTCAAGCCAGAGGCCACAGGGAATCCCAATGCTCTGCCATTCTGCATCGACCCGGCGCTCCTGCAATTCTGGCCGAGTGTGCTGGAGCTTGCGAAGGGCACTTGGGGCTTAGGGGTTGAGGGGTTTGGGGTTTACCTTAACCCTGAATATCCTACCTTTTTAGGGCTCCTTATTATGATTTCCTCATATACTAGGATGCCCAGTAGTACCCTTATTCCCTTTTTGTAGTCCTAGGTTCCTTATAAAGTTACCCAATACCAAAAAGAGAGGCCTTTTCATTCTTAGGTTACTGGGTATCCTAGTATAAGTCCTGAAAAAGGTAGGTCCTTCAGGTTTAAGGTAGCGTTCAGGCGTTCAGGGAGCTTGCGTGGGGCAGAGAGGGTTCGGGGTTCTTGTCCACGGTTTAGGGTTTAGGGTTTAGGGTGGTAGATGAGATGAGGTTACCTTTACACTTTGTGGGCTATTATACTTCCCGTGTAGTCCCGAAAGCTTACCTTTGGTTCTCAAGAAGTCGATGGTCAGTGTATAAGTTCATTTCTTCAATATGGCAAGGGTACACACTGTGTGTGTTTGTGTGTGTGTGTGTGTTTTTCAGAAGGGTACTTTATGTATTAAGGCTTCTCGAATCGGGCTTTGTCGGTTCCCTAAACCCTACACTAAACCCCTTTTTTTGAGGGAAGAAGAGGAGTCTAGGGTTCAGGGTTTCTGTTTGTTTAGGGTTTAGGGTTTAGGGTTTAGGGTTTAGGGTTTATGTTTGTTTAGGGTTTAGGGTTTAGGGTTTAGGGTTTATGTTTGTTTAGGGTTTAGGGTTTAAAGGGTTTAGGGTTTCTGTTTGTTTAGGGTTTAGGGTTTAGGGTTTAGGGTTTAGGGTTTATGTTTGTTTAGGGTTTAGGGTTTAGGGTTTAGGGTTTCTGTTTGTTTAGGGTTTAGGGTTTAGGGTTTAGGGTTTAGGGTTTATGTTTGTTTAGGGTTTAGGGTTTAGGGTTTAGGGTTTATGTTTGTTTAGGGTTTAGGGTTTAAAGGGTTTAGGGTTTCTGTTTGTTTAGGGTTTAGGGTTTAGGGTTTAGGGTTTATGTTTGTTTAGGGTTTAGGGTTTAGGGTTTAGGGTTTATGTTTGTTTAGGGTTTAGGGTTTAAAGGGTTTAGGGCCAGTTTAGGGTTTAGGGTTTTAGGGTTTAGGGTTGTCTTTTTGTGGGAGGGTGGGGTTGTGGTTAGGGCCTTGGGGATTGCGACTCCAAGCCGGTGGTATGCTTGGGAAGATCTGCAAAATTACAGAGATAGCCAATGGGAGAGCTTTAAAGTTTTCGGCCTTAGGCATTTTGTTCTATCTTAGAAAGTTATAACTTTATTGGGATTGGGTTTTGAAGAACAGAGGTGCTAACAGCTAAATGCGGAATCCGCACGAAGTGTATGAGTACTTGTTTAGGCTTTTATAATAAAAATCCGAGAAGATCAGATACCTTTCAATTTGTAGAGTAGTGCCCGTGCATTGTACGTAGACCCCAGAGCATACCTCCTCTAGAGCCTCCAGCCCAGCGCTTAATCAGAATAATGAAAATTCCACATGGTTAAACCCAATATTGCTCAGTTGAGATACTCTGCTGTCCGCATCTGCAACCCCTCATATGAGATCTGGACTTTACTAGGGTGAAACCCTCAAAGCCCCCCGCCCATCCAAACCACTACCAAAGGAACTTCTAAACCCTTAAGTCAAGACAGCCCTGAACCCCAAACCCGAAACCCTAGGTGCCCTGAACCCTCAACCGCCCTGGACTAGGACCCAGAGTAAGCCCTTATTCCCTTTTTAGGGTTCTGGTTCCGTTATCAAGCCCCTTTAAGCCAAAAAGGGCACCCTCTTTATTCCTAGGTTACTCTTGGGTCTAGTGGAGGAGAGTATGCTTACACTCTTCCTGTCCATCTCTGGCGGAATCGACTGGCAGCTGGCTTTAGACACGTTAGAGGGTTTGTTAGCCTTTAGGGGTCATAGTCCCCAGACCTTCCAAAATCCCTTAATTAAGGAATATACCTTAATTCATATAAGGGATCCTATTATAATTTGAGGTATATGCCTTAATAAAGGGATTTTGGAAGGTCTGGGTAGTCCCGATAAGGCAATTGCATGTTCGCGGGTCCAAGCCTGAGTTCAAGCATTTCTTTCTGTGACTTCGGTGCTTCGTCTCATGTCGAGTTTTGGGGACTTCTGCTATCCTAATCCAAATACCGGGTTCAGAAATTGGGACATGTGGATTTGTGGTTCAAGATTCAAGAATTTTAGGGGCGAAGAGTTTCTTAAAGCCTAAACCCAGAAACCCTCGAACACAGACAATGCCAAAAACCCTAGTAGTAGAGTACGTGGCCTTTAACCTTTTTGGGTCCTTATAATCCTCAAATGTTTCATCCTATTAAGAGGTTAACCTCTAGTTCCCCAGGATACTGGACAATTAGGTTAGGCTTCAGGGTGGCCCTAGCCGATAGCGTGACTGCTTGTTTTCCTTTCCGGCAGGCCCCGGCAGGCTAGCTGAAAAATCAGCCGTTAGTCAGAATTAGCAAGCCCCAAGCCACCCCACTGAAAAGGATCATCGAACCAGCAACTAGGATGCCCAGTAGTACCCTTATTCCCTTTTTGTAGTCCTAGGTTCCTTATAAAGTTACTCAATACCAAAAAGAGAGGCCTTTTTATTCTTAGGTTACTGGGTACCCTAGACTAGGTCGGTAATTGTTTACTGTTACCGGGCCCGAGTGCTTACAAAGCCCTCCTGCAGGACGAACTTTTCTCAAAGGGGAAAAGGAGGGACCCTTAATAAGGACCCCTAGGTATATACCCTTAATATAGCCTTTATATACCCATTATATAGCCCATTATAGGGTAGGGGTCCCCGTTAAGGGTCCCTCCTTTTCCCCTTTGATTTTCCTCAGTATCTTCACAAATTGTGTGTTTTATTGTTACGTTACCTTCTCAGGGAGTTAGACTTTGATGATTTGGCTTGAGGGGCTTCCTTCAGAACGACATGTACCCTTCCCCTACCCCCTAAACCCTACAACTAGGATGCCCAGTAGTACCCTCATTCCCTTTTTGTAGCCCTAGGTTCCTCACAAAGATACCCAATACCAAAAAGGGAGCCCTTTTAATTCCTAGATTACTGGGCATCCCAGACAAGCTTTTATGGTTCCCCCTTTCCATACAGGGGTTCCGACCCTAAACCCTAAACCGTACCCTAAACCCTAAACCACTAAAACCCCTAGGGGTTCATGCCCTAGACCCTACCTTAAACCTGAAGGACCTACCTTTTTCAGGACTTATAGAAGGAAATCAAAATCAGGAGCCCTAAAAAGGTAGGTTATTCAGGGTTAAGGTAAACCCTAAACCGAACCCTATATCCTGAACCACTAACACTCCCACTTGGAGGGTCGGGGGACTTAGTAAGTAGGTAGCAGGTAGACTTATAAGTACCCTAACAGGGACCCTAATTGGGGTTATGGTACTTATAAGTCCCTAAAATAACCAGTTACTAAGTCCCCCGACCCTCCAAGCAGGGGCTCATGGTATCAGGGTGTAGGCCAGCAACCGTAAGGATTGCTCCCGAGACCCTTCCTAAGCAAACGGCTCCCAGTAGCTAAATATCGTATGGGAGTTTCCGAAAACAGGGGTACCTTATTTGGGCTCCTTATCATAAGAATCCTACTATTCAGGGTACTATGTTTGGGTCCCATATTTTCGGAAACTCCCAAATATCATCCGCCAGATACTATCCTACAAAACAGCTATCCTTAACCCAAGTACCTAATCATTCTGAAGCCCCCTGTATGCCCTTTCTCGAGCCCTTAGCACATCCCTTGGCAGTTGCTTTGGACCCTTCGGATAAGCTAGCTTTATGAAGGTCTAGCCCATGATGTAGATCCCCCCATGCTCGAAGCGCTTCTGAAGAACCCACGCGAGGGACCACGAACATTCAGAAGTCCCACGATGTACGCACTGCGCAAAGGCAGCAAGCAATGGAACCTCTGCGCGAGGCCAATGCCGTGTCAGTCGAGTTAGTAAGGGATCTTCATGTGGTGAACAACGGCTGCCACTGTTGTTTTTACTATGTTTTTCGCTTTGACCCGGTAGTAGTGGTGCTTGCAGTAATATTCTTTATTTCTTGATTATTGTTATTGTGCTTATTAGTGTTCTTGCTACAGTTATTATTAGTGCTTATACCTATTATTCTTGTGATTATTAGTATTCTTGCTGCTGTTATCAGTTATGAGAAGTAAGTAGTAGCAGCACCAGCAGCAGCTGCTACTTCTTCGTCTTGTTTGTTGTTGTTTCTGCTGCTCTTGTGGTCGTGTTGGTGCAGGGGGTGCTGTGCTGCGTAGTTGTTTTGTCGATCTGCGTGTTCGCGGCCCCATTACTGTAAGCTCGAAGTGAGCCGCCCACGACGGCGCCCTAGGCCCTCATTTCACATCAGTTCAATTACCCTCAACGACGGTCTGAGAATCGGGCCGCACACTCCCCCCTTCAGTGCGAAATCCTTTGGTGCCAACCTCTTCAAAGCCCCACAATAAAACCCTAAACCCTAAACCTTAAACCCTAAACCCTAAACCCCTAAACCCTAAACCCTAAACCCTAAAGCCCCACAATAGGTTTTTGGGTGTGTCGTCATAACCTGTGCTTTCGGATCTGGGCTGCCTGTCTAGACAAGGAGGGCGGTCTGTTGCCTAGTAGTAGATAGGTCACCTTTAACTTTCTTTTGGGGTAGTATAGTCCCTAGATAATCCTATTTATCCAAAAAAGGATAACCTTTAGTTCCCCATGATTCCTATAGCTCCCTTAAAGGAACCCGTATGGCTCCTTTTTAAGGACCCCAGAGACCCTTTCAAGTTCCCCATGATACCCGACAAGTAGGGTTGATTTTGGAGAGGTTTCCCCCGCAGCGGTCATTATGATGATCCTGTTCATCGTAGTGACTGCATCCCGGCACCGAATCAGACTCCGGAGTGTGGAGTTCTTAGTAGCTGAGTGGATACATTTTACACTTGTTGGGGATAAGAATGATTGCTTTATACCATTTCTGGGGTTCCCGTTTTACAATGGGCCTAAAACCCTATTCTAATTATTAAGGCCCCTTATATTAGGCCTGAGTTGACCCTGCATCCTAGAATAAGGCGGTTTAGCGTATATTCCTGAATTGACTGCTGTGGATTTTCTAGATGCAAGGAGTCATTTCTCTGTTCGACGCATCACTATAGTATCCTTAGGAATTGTTTTTTGTTCATATAAATTTCAGAGAAGACACATATTATGATTAGGTTTTATGATAGTCATAATTAGTGGTATTTGTAATTATGGTTCTAAGGGGGGTGTAGATCATGGCAAGCTTCCATTATGGATTTCAGGTGGAACCCACTGTCCTGAATCCTAAACCCAACAACGTAGCACATACGGAAAGCCCAGACCTTCCAACATCCCTTAATTAAGGAATATACCTTAAATTATAATAGGACCCCTTATATGAATTAAGGTAAATTTCTTAATTAAGGGATTTTGGAAGGTCTGGGAAGCTTTCTATCAAGTGTGTTCGGGTTTATTGGGTTTAGGCAGCTTTAATGCATGGTTCATGGCTAGTCAAGGGTAGGCTTATAGGTCTCAGAGGGTAAATGGGTTAGTAGAATTTGTAGCCTTACGTCAACTTGCTCATGACCAATCGTCAGCTCTCTCTGTTACATTAAGACGGAGCCCAATTTAGTGTCCTCGCACGTTTGCTGCTTCACGATCTGCTTTGATTCAAGGGGTCCGTATATCACAGCCAAGTGACAAGCAGCCAAAGTTAGGGACCCAAAAAGACGCAGGCATAAGAATGTTATAGGGAGAACCCTACCTTATTGGGCTAGGGGGCTTACATGGGATATCATTATCCTTGTGTTTGATTATTCGCTTTTTCAGGGCCATAAAAGGCACGGCTGCAGAAAGTTTATACTATTTGGGTACATGGACCCTTAGGGCATTTTAATGGCCAGGATCTGTTGTGCAGAAAAGTAGCCGGGTAGGGCATGACCCTACAGGTAGGGTTCAGAGTGCAACGCCGAAGCCAGAGACGTTGTACCCTTACACTAAGGTGCCTGAACAAATGAATTACGGTTAGTTTTAGGTTTCGGGTCTTAGGGATTAGGGTTCAGGGTTTAGGGTTTAGAGTTTGAGAGTTTTGGGTCTCGAGTTTTAGGGGTGCAGGAGTTTAGGGGTTTAGGCTTGAGTGTTTTAGGGTTTTTAGGGTCCGAAAGAATGGTCTTAGCTGCATAGTCTTGCCTTAACCAGTGGGAGAAGTCTGCACTTGTTGTCCTTGTATACAGGGTCTATCTTTAAAGCTTGAGCTTTTCTTGGCGAGTTTTTTTGATTAAGGAAGTAGTGATACATTAGAAGGGGCCCCCACCCTGTAATAGTGTTATATTGGGAACATAATAGGGCCCTTATATAATCCTTATAGTGACTATTACAGGGTGGGGGCAGCTTCTAAGTGATACAGCATTCGCAGTGCTGACGGTCATATCCAAGGGTAGAAGGAGGGGCCCTTAATGAGGACCCCTAGGTATATACCCTTAAGATGGCTAATATATATATATATATACATATGTATATATATATATATATATATATATATATGTATACCCATTATATAGCCCGTTATATAGGGTCCCCATTCGGGGTCCCTCCTTGACCCCTTTGGTCATAAGACTCCTCCAGTCGGCACCCTGAGAACCTGCCGCTTCCGAGGTCTTTGCGGTTTTGAGCCTTGGATGTCCGAGTCGGTTTAGAGTTTAGGGTTTAGGGTTTAAGGTTTAGGGTTTAGGGTTTAGGGTGTAGGGAGTCCCTTAGACCCCAAACCTTTAATCTTAGATAGTGAACGGGGGAACTTTCAACTTTCTGGCCTTTTATACTAGCTCTATCTTTGAAAGTTTTGAACTTTTGGGGGCCCGGTTGTTGAAAAAGAGAGTAACTACAAACCCTAAACCTTGAACCCTCAACCCTTGCCCGGGAACTTGAAGCATTCTAAACCCGAAGAGCCCAAACCCTACACCTTGAACCATACAACCCTCAACCCTATGTTAGCCCTGAGCCTTAAGTTGCTGTTTCTAGACACATTTTCACATGAGTGACAAAGGTCTGGATACAATCCCCTTATTGCAGCCGACATATGTTTCAGCTATAACATACATTTTTCAGGTGTGAGATATCGTTTGTGGTTCTGAGCATGTGCCAGCCTGCGCTTTGGGGCCACGGGTTTGCTGCTAAGGTTCCCCGGAGCTCAAGAACCTGAAACCCGCGAGCACACGAAACCTATCCTCAGACCCTAAAACCCCGACTTAGCAATGCAGCTATTGAGTACGTAGCTTGAGACTCTTTGGGATAGTGCTAGCGATCATCCGCAATGATATTTTTTTGGTAATACGAACATAGCAACTAAGCATACCCTGAACCCTAAAGCCAGAACTGATAGTTTGCTTTTGAACTTGGGGGACCTCTGCTTACTTTGGTTTTGCAACCAAATTTCCGGTGGCACCCCCGAGCGAGAGAGGGAGAGAGAGCGAGAGAGAGAAAAAAAAAAACAAAGAGGGAGCAGGGAGCAAGAGAGAGAGAGAGAGAGAGAGAGCTCAACCCTCAACCCCTAAACCCTAGATCCCTAAACCCCCAAAACCTTAAATCCCTCAACCCCTAAAACGGTGGGCCTCGGTCTCGATCTTTGAAGGGTCGAGCCGTTACGAAATGCAAAATGCACTTAACTTTGAGCCAAGCTAAAGCTAAGCCATCAACAATCAAGCCCGCCCAGGAACGTCGTTACCGGCGCCTTGGCAGCACATAGATATCGAGAGTTTTGCAAGGGCTATATAGGCTTATCATAAGGCGTTCGTACTCATGCTGCAAGTAAGATTATGATGGCGCCCTGGACGTAAGTCTGCCGATCCTCCACAGCGTTATATACATGCAAGAATACACAAGAAGCAGAAACGTTTAGCTCTCACCGCGTTTGCAAAGAGCGCAACTATTTCTTCTCCTTGCAAAGAGCTTCCTTTCCGAGGTGTGTTCTGCACCACAGCCATCGAGAGCGCCCAGTCGGACAAGGATATCGCTATCATGAAGCAGATGCACAAGCAGAGGTGGCAGACATAGTCAACAAATGAGTATTTGTCTATGTGCCCTATCGTTCGGGGGACCTATTGTAGGAACCTGATTAACGAACCCTAGCCCTATAACCCCCCAATATAATAGTGTTCATACAAGGCACCCTAATAAAAAAACGCAGGGTTTCTTAGTGAAACTTAAGCATACTGATTGGGTTTAGCCATGCTACCCACAGGAAAATGACGATGGCATGCAACCCGCATAAGGACCCTTGGGGGGGTTAGGGGGCCCTAATACCCTTAATAGGGACTTAATAAGGCCAACTAGTATACTGCCCTATCCCCCTTCCCCCCTAACCCCCTAAGGGTCCCTCTGATTACCTATCTCTCACTAAGCCCCTTGTAAGCGACCGTCAACGAACCCAAGGGGCCCTTACAGAAGCCCTGCAGATCACTGTTAGGCCCTAAACCCGTAAGCCCTCAATCTCAACCCCCAAAACCCTACCCTAAAACCCCAAACCCGAAACCCTAAACGAAGGGGGGATGTTAAGACGCCCTGACACCCAGAGAGCCCAATACCCCTTAATTAAGGAATATGGCTTAAATCAGAATAAGAAGGGGTCTTGGGCTCTCTGGGCAGATCCCTAAACCCGAAACCCTAAACCCTAAGCCCTAAACCCTAAACCCTTAAACCTACAAACCCTATAAACCCTATAAGCCCTATAAACCCTAAACCCTTAAACCTCTAAACCCCTAAACCCTTAAACCTCTAAACCCTATAAGCCCTTAAACCCCTAAACCCTTAAACGTCTAAACCCTATAAACCCTTAAACCTCTAAACCCTAAACCCTAAACCCTTAAACCTCTAAGCCCTATGAAGACGCCCCGGACAGATCCTTGGTGGAAGCCTTGAAGATGACCTTCTCCGAGATCGACCACGACAATTCGAATCGGGAGACCTGGCCATGGGTTCAGGGTTCCTTTACAGTAGAAGCCAGAAAGTTGGAACATGGCTTCAGGAGGATTAGTGCTAGGATCCCTTATACTTTACCAGGGCATGAGGATAATGATGTTCCAACTTTCTGGCTTCTACTGTAAGGGTTTAGGGTTTAGGGGCTCCTTTAAGAGTTTAGGGTTCAGGGTCTAGGGGTTTAGGGTTTAGGGGTTTAGGGTTTAGGGTAAACCCCATAATAAAGTTGGAAACCGGATTAATGCCAAATAGTGCTGGGATTCCCTAAACATTACTCTTAAGGATTGAGGCCATGGGTTTCCAACTTTTTGGGCTTCTACTGTAGGGTGTGAGGTTCAGGGTGTAGGGTTCCTTTAAGGGTTTAGGGTTCAGGGTCTAGGGTCACTTTAAGGGATTAATATGGGTTTTCATATAGAGGCTTGGGGTATACTTTAACCCCAGATAACCTACTTGTTTGTGGACTTATAAATGGAGATCATATCAAGGAGCCAGGGCTTAGGTGGCTTTAGGGATCGGCGAGGAACCCAATTCGGCCATTGAAAGTGGGGGCGCACGAGTACCCCATGGCCTTGAGCGATTGATGAGAGCCCGTCAACTCCTAAACCCGAAACCCTAAACTAGAGGTTCATATGGGTGGTTGTCAAAATTATGGTACCTTTTGGAAATAGGGGACACTAATATAGTACCCTACATAGTAGGATCCCTATTATAAGGACCCCCAAATATGATTTTCGGAAACTCCCAAATGAGCCTTAAAAGTAGGGGGCCGCCTTAGGGTTCCGGGGTTAAGGTCATGGGTACCTGGAGCAACCCTAACTCTAGACATTCGTTATATCAATGGGGAAAAGGAGGGACCCTAGGCCCTTTATTAGGGTTCCTTTAAAGGGATCTATATGGGGTTACTATAAGGGGTCTATAAGGGTACTATAATACTGTAGGAACCTGATTAAGGTTGGGCAAAGGGGAAACGGAGGGACCCTTAATGGGGACCCCTACCCCATGATGGGCTATATAATGGGTATATAATAGCTACATTAAGGGTATATACCTAGGGGTCCTTATTAAGGGTCCCTCCTTTTACCCGTGGATTATATGAATCCTACGATTTTCGGGTTATAGGCCCAGGGTTTCTAAATCAGGTTCCTACATTACCCTACAAAGTTTCATGGAAGGTTCAAGCAACAAGTAGCATACGTGCAGGATCAAGGATTTCTTAATCAGGTTCCTATATTACACTATGATCTCATTTGTTTCAGCTCCGTTCCCGGCCTTCTCCTGAGCCGCGCAAAGGCTTGACGCATACATCCCCTGCTAAGCGTCCAACAGAGCATCAAAGGGGAAAAGGAGGGACCCTTAATGGGGACCCCTACCCTATAATGGTATATAATAGCTATATTAAGGCTATATACCTACCAGGTTTCAATGAAAAAATGCTTAATCAACAACCCTAAACCCTGAACCTCATCGCCAACACCGAGGTGTCCCTGGACGAGCTCAAACAGGCATCTGGTACTAGAGCTTTGGGTTTAGGGTTTGGGGTTTAGGATTTAGGGTTTAGGGCTGAGGGTTTAGAGTTAGAATCTGGTACCTGCAAGCCTCACTCCTTTGTCATAGTTGGGTAACATTTTACATTTTTATGGGTACAAACCCAATAAGGAATACAAATTAATATGTTTAATCCTTTCCCAACCATGAACTAGACTCTTTCGAGGTCATTGAAAACTAAGGCCCGCTGAAACCCTAGGGGTACTTAGAAATGACTTTAGTTTTTGGGTTATTATCACCCCTAAGAAACAGCTAAAGTTATAATTGTTGCTAGGGTTCTAAGTTCGGTATAGAAACCTTGAACACTTGCATCTCCAGGAGCTCCAAAAGCACACCTCGGCAGAGGGCTTCAAGGGTTTAGGGCTTGGGGGTTTAGGGTTTAGGGTTTAGGGTTTAGGGTTTAGGGCTTGAGCAGTGTCGAAGGCTTACAGTAGAAGCCAAAAAGTTGGAAACCCAATAGCCTCAATCCTTAAGAGTAATGTATAGGGAATCCCAGCACTATTTGGCCTTTATCCTTCAAAGGCTTGAGCAGTGTCGAAGGCTTACATCAAAGGGGAAAAGAGGGACCCTTAATGTGTAATGGGGACCCCTACCCTGGCTATATTATCGGTAATTATATACCCAGGGGTCCTTATTAAGGGTCCCTCCTTTTACCCTTGGATCGAAGGCTTGCAGCTTTTTCCTGGATTTGCGAGAGCCTTATACAATGCAGGATTGAGAGTGTATGGCAGGGCATGGTGCTGGGTAAGAAAACGTGCTTGTAATAGAAGCCCACGGAATCGCAGAGCCTGCAAGTGCGTCTGCATTTAGCATCGTTCTGATTACCTAATCGTCACTAAGTGGGCACTTGGACCGTCGGGGTAGAAAGCCCTTGAGAAATCATACGAATCCACATAGAAGCCGATGAGACCCCCCAGAGGCACTGACTGCCAAGAAGCTGGTGCATTTCATGGAGTCTTTGGGAATCTCCACCCAGGACACTGGGTCACTGGGTAGGAAAGGAGTTAAGCTTTCGGTGTGCCGGGTTGCAATAGCGGTTCCTTTGGGGTTCCCAACGGTAAGGCAGTTTAAAGCAGCAGAAAACCTCAGGCCCCAGTCCACTTCATTCAGGCGTATGTACGAGGCGTTTCCACTTTCGGTTCGGTTGTTTAGGTATCCTTGTGGTCTCAGCAGCCCTATAGTTTAAAGCTAAGAATCTGTCGAGGAGTCGCCGGAGGACGTGATGTCTCTCTTCCTGACTCTATTTCTATGGCTTCCGTTTAAGACTTAGAAAGTGAACGGGGGAACCTTAAACTTTTTGGCCTTGTATGTTAGCTCTAGCTTACAAAGTTTGAACTTTTTGGGGTGCGGTTGTTGAAGAAGAGAGCAAAAGGTATCAGGATAGTGTGGGATGATTGTACTATAGGGGCGGCCTGACTGATAATTCATTAGCCAGCAGTTTCCCCTTATTGTTCCCATGTAGGTATGGTGGCTTTGAATAGAATAACATCATCGTATAGGCTGCTATGTTTGTTAGGACTTTAGCAGTTTCGTTATCACCGGTTTATGGTCCATGGTTTCACGGTTTTGGGCTTCAGGGTGTAGGGGTTTAGACGTCGGGCAGTCCAGACACAGACCCGACCCGCTGAAGGATCTATGTTTCAACCCCTGAACAATGAAAGGCCTGTCTCGAGCAATAAGATGCCGTGTAATGGGGCTGAATCTCCTTACACCCATAAACACCTACCTCTGTTAAGTCATATGGCAGAAGCATGTCGTTCAGGAGTCTCTACCCGTTGATCCCATGAGCAACACTGGGCTTTGAAGTACCATACTTTAAATACTTTTTTTTAAAATGGAACCCTTATGAAATAAGAGTTTATACTTTTTTCTCCCTGGTTACTTAAAAGCCCAGAACAGCACATCTTTGGCCATGTGGTAGAAGGACGCGGCCCTGGGGGTTTATTTCTGTAACTTCACAGGGCCTGGTTCATAGAGTCCTTAGTACAACCCATACTCATTAATAGACAAATCTATAACGAACCCTACTAAGAGTCTTTCGAGGAGTCGCCGGAGGACGTGATGACTCTCTGCTTGACTCTATTTCTATGACCTCCCTTTAAAACCCTAAGCCCCAAAACCGAAACCCAGGGCTTTGCATGCTTGAAGTGGCAGTTGGAGGACGTGATGACTCTCTTCTTGATCATCGACCACGATGAATCTGGCTGGATTGATCTGGACGAGCCGCACGCCTAGTACCGTACTTTAGATGTCCATAATCATTAGATCGAAAATGCTTTTGCGGTACACGATTATACTTAGTAGCTGAGTGGATACACTTTACACTTTTTGGGATAATACTACCCACTCCAAGACGAAAAGTGAACACGTTTTGGGGGCTTATGAACTCAGCAACTAAGTATGGTACTCGGTTTTAGGATAGCAGTTATGTAGGTTAGGACTTGTGACTTGGGAGAGTTTACGATTATTGGGTATATGCTTTTGCGGTACACTATTGTAGTAGATGTGTAGTATGGAGCTCTATCAGGATTACAATTGGTGTTCCTTCAGGCTACCCCTAAGGCTCAACATGCATAGCCCAAAAGTTTGAAAACCTGAGTCCTTAGCGGTTTAGGGTTTAGGGTTTAGGTTAGGGCCTTAGGGTACATGTATCAAAACAAGGAACCCCATAAAGAATACTATTGGTGATTAAGAATACTACTGGTGATTAGCCAGGCTTCATTAGCAGGGAGCCCAGACAGTCCTGGATCCTCTTACTACTTAGAGGATCACGGGACTTAGTAAGTGATGTTACAGATAAGGTAGCTATACTTATAACTGCTTATAAACCCGGTCAAGGTACTTATAACCTTACTTACTAACTCCCATGATCCTCCAAGTAGACCCTAAACCCTAAGCCCTATAGAATCCTTTTGAAGAACCCCATAGATCCTTTCAAGGTGTCCTTTCAAGGAGCCCTTCCAAGTCCCATGATCCTCCAAGGACCCAGACCTGCCATTACCCCATTACGGCGAGATGCCTTAAATAATGGTCGGGGCTCCTACTATCATTTTAGGATGCCCAGTAGGGTATAGGGTTTAGGGTTGATAATATAAATCCTGCATTACCTTGATGGCCCTAAAATATGGGAATGATGATATATTCTTTACTATGGTTAATGCAGGATTTATATCATCAACCGTAGTACCCTTAGTCCCTTTTTGTAGCTCCTAGGTTCCTTATAAAGTTGCCCAATCCCAAAAAGGAGCCTTTTTTATTCATAGGTTACTGAGCATCCTAGAATTATTCGAGCCATGTTCCTCAATTAAGGGGTATTGGGCTCTCTGGGAGCTGCTGTTCCGACGGTGAGCCCGCGTCCAGCGGTGGCATCCGACGGCAGGCTTTCAGCCCTAGAGCTTGTGTTACGAAATGGTTCAGAGAAGACAACCGCCGTACGATGGTCCCGGTCGCCTTATGGGCGCATGCGCTCGTAATACTGTACGATGGCTCGTCAATATCATCTGCACAATATCATCTACACGGCAAAGCCTGGCGATGCCAGACGCATCATGACATGCTTCCACAATGGCGTGCGTGGGTTGGGTTGGTTTGGTACTATGCGGGATGGGAGTGGGAGTCGAGGTTCAGGGTTTAGGTTCCCCCGGCTCCCGTAACATAAGCTTCTACCGAAACGGGGTTTCCCGAACCCTGATAGAGTATCCTAAGTAGTCGGATCCTTATATTAAGGACCCCAAAATAAGGTACCCCTATTGTTCGGAAGCTTCCAAATATACTATGACATCCCGTTCGAGTTATGAGAGGTCAGAGCGTCAGGCCTCTCGTTTTGTACACGCTACGTGGAGCTACCCCAACTATGACCCTACTTGTAACCGACCCTAAACCCTACACCCTACTTACCCTAGGGATCAAAGTAGCCCAAATTAAAGCCTTGTATATTACTTGGAGGCCCTTTTGACTTAGTAAGTAGGGTTAGTAAGGTGGGTTATGGGGATTATAATAGGGTTTCTAGTGGATACTAAGTAGACTTACTAAGTCAAACGGGCCTCTAAGTATGGTCTTTGGGCCCAAAAGCCTCTAAACCCTAAACCCTAAACCCTAAACCCTAAACCCTAATGAGTCCTTAGATCCCTCAGGGTTTCAGTGAGGGGCTTAGGATGTAAGGTTTAGGGCTTAACCCTGAGTAAACGACCTTTTTAGGGTTCCTCATTATGACTAGGACCTAGAGTAGGCCCTTATTCCCTTTTTTAGGGTTCAGGTTCCCTTATAAGCCCCTTTAAACCAAAAAAGGGCACCCTTTTTATTCCTAGGTTACTCTTGGGTCTAGATGATTTCCTTATGTAAGTCCTTAAAAGGGTAGGTCCTTCAGGGTTAAGGTAGGGCGTAAGGTTTAGGGCTTGAGCTTTGGGGTTTAGGGTTTGGGGTTTAGAGACACCCGGAACCCAGGACTTGCTGAACGCACATTTTCAGGAAATAGGTTATACAAAATACGACCCAAACAAGTGACCTTGAGCACCCGATGATTCGCATGGAGCTTGTCTTTGAGATCCTCTAAAGGACCCTACACCCTAAACCGTAAGCTCGAAACAGCACACTTTAAGCACCAAACCCAAACCAGGAAGGGGGTTGTGTTTCGAAATCTTCCAGCTATGGTAAAAGGCTGTTTGGTAGGGGATCTGAAGAAGAGGAGCCGGGGGAAAAAGGATGCGTCTTTTGGGGCTGTGGGAGTTTGTATGGATGTTTGGTGCTTTGACTTTAAGCAATATGTGCTCAGGGGTTTTAGGTTTTAGAGCTTTAAGGGCTTTAACTTTCACGATTCAAAAAGGATTTTAGAAGCCGAAGAAAGACCTCGAATCTCAACCCATACAATACAATGGTACTATAGATAATTCTGGACGGTCTGCTTTTTTTACTTCCGTTCAAGGGGTCTTGGAAAAGCATTTGGCAAATTCGAGCCCCAGTGTTTAGAGGTTACAACTAAACCCACTAAACCCAATCTCAAGAATCCCTAAGCCCTTGTCCGCCATGGATTTGACTTCGCGATTCTTGGGTGGTTTCGAGTCTGCCCGCCCGTTCACGATGAACCGAACACCCGAAGAACCTTGTAAACTCATGCAGCGCGATCTCAAGGTTTGTCTCCGGATGTATGCAGCTACACGGTCCTGCCAAGCGACACGACTGTGATTTCGAGTTTTCGTTGGATTCTAAACCCTGCCTTCAGGGTCATACCCTGCCCCTGTTTTAGTGTACCTACTTTCTATCGTACTTTCTATACAACAGGTCCTGACCCTACAACCAGGTACTCTTAAAAAAGGGGCAGAGTATGACCCTCTAGGTAAAGCCCGAAGAAGTCCAAACCTAAACCCACTCTCAGGGCAGAGGCTTCGGGATGCTTATAGGAAAGCCCAAAAAGTTGGAAACCGGACTAAGGACAATTAGTGCTGAGATTCCCTTTACATTATTACCCTTAAGGATTAAGGCTGTTGGGTTTCCAACTCTTGGGCTTCTACTGTACTCGGTTGCTGAAAGACTTGTGCAGGCTGTCGGGCTTTGTTTAATGCTACACTGGGCTGTGCTTTGGGATAACTTTGAATTTCCCTTATTTCCTTATACAGGGAACCTATTCGTAAATAACTTTCGAAGGGTTTACAGCACAACCCAGTAAACCCTCGGGTTTGTACAGGTTTGAACTTCCTGCTTCGGCCCGCCTCCGGCTTTGGGATTCAGGGCCCAGGATTGGTGTAATATAGGGGCCTAAATACCCAGACCTTCCAAAATCCCTTAATTGAGGAATATACCTTAAATTACCATAGGATACCTAATATGAATTAAGGTATATTTCTTAATTAAGGGATTTTGGAAGGTCTGGGTAATTACCCATACTATTTTTTGGGGGTTCCTTATTATATCTATAGTATAATGGGCCGCAAAACCTTATTCTAATTATTAAGGCCCCTATACTAATTGCTTGCAGTTCTGTGGCGCCGGAACGACCGGAGAACCTATTCACTACGCCCGGCAGCACTCCATAAGAACATTCTGTTTGTAGGATTCTCGCGTCCCCTAGAACAATTCTCAATAAAGCCACCCCTAAAACTTCAACCCAGGCATGACAGCCTGCTGACTGAGCCCTTAACGTTTCAAAGCCTTTGGCCCTTCTTAGGCCTTTGTAGTGGGAACGTTAGTGTTGTTGGCCTTTAGGCGTTGCTATTTTGTTTGTCTTCATGTTGTGTTTTGCTTGTATCTGGCTGCTTTGGAGTTCAGGATGTAGGGCCTTTGATGTTGTGAGCTTTCTGGGGAGCATGAGCAAAGCCCCAAGCCGTAAGCCGAGCAATGACGCACCAAGGAGCTTGCAAATGGCGCAGGTCTTCCATGAGCTCCATCTGCAGACTTCTGCTTGCACTTGATCACTTGAGTTTAGGGTAGCATCGTAGCTACTATAATAACGGGTTGGGTTGGGGTTTTCGCGATTTAGGGTTTAGGGGGTTTAGGGTTTAGCGTTTTTTTGGTTTCAGGTTTGGGGTTCAGGGTCAGTTTAGGGGTTACTACAACTCAAGGCCTGAGTGCTCCCCAGGGCGCCTTGTTATAGATACGTTGTGACATGCCAGCCAAAACGCTAGTCCTGGTGTTGTGGCCCCTGCATTTCGTGACCACAACACGACGAAAGTAGAAAGCGGAACCGTTTTGTTCTGCGCTGTTGGTGGTGTTTCGCCTTCACAATGGAACAAGAGTACTTTCTTCACGATCTACTCTAATAGAACCCTAAAGAAACCCTCATCAGCTACAGCCTCGTGGAACGGCACAAGGGGTATGACCACCCCCATGCAAGCCTGAGAGTGAAGGTTTGGGGTCTAGAGTTTAGAGTGGAACCTTTTAACAGCAGCCATGCAATTAACCCTTTCAGGAAGCCAACAATCCCATGAAGCGGCATCGGGGTTACAAGCTCTAAACGTCTAAACCCTAAAACCCCAAACCCACAACCCTAGACCCTAGACCTTTACAATCCCTCCTCGGCCCAAGGAGGAATGGCATCCAGTCCGTGGCAGACAGCGTTGCCGATCTGTCAGCTAGACTGCGGTTAGCGGGGGGGGGGGGGGGGCTGGGGGATTAGGGTTTGGGGTTTAGCTTTTTCTGTTTCGGGTGGTAGCGTCTAGGGTTTACGGTCTTGGGCTTTGGGGTTCAAGGGTTTTAGTTTTGGGTGTAAGGCAGGTGGTTTCTTTCAGGGGTCGTGTTGGTCAGAGAGCTTTTTTTTGCAGGGGGGGGGTTCTCGGCACCCGGGCTGTGAGAACCTAGTGTTGAGTTCGCAAGGGGCCTGTGCATAGTATTGTATCATTACTAATATATACGTCTTAATAGTATTATTCTTTAAATGTTGGGGCTCTCGTTGTAGGTGGCAGGGTTCATGGTTTGCAGTTTGTGGCACTTGGTTTGGGGTTTCGATCTTTGGTTTTTGACCCGAAAAGGAGAACCACAAATTTGATGACATGATGTTCAAGCCATAGCTCCGGTCCGGAGCGCTGGCTTATGGATGGCTGGCAGAAGAAGTCGAAGTACCAGGGTACTTTGTAAAGCACTGAGTTACTACTTACTATACTAGTAAGTAACCCTAGTCGGTTTTCGAATACCGTTCTGTCTTATTTTTTGTGCAGCTGTGCCCTTCAAAAACTAATCCAAGAAGGTTTGGGGGGTCTATTCAAGTAACTACACATATGGGAGTTTCCGAAAATAGGGGACCCAAATATAGCACCCTAAATCGTAGGATCCTTATTATAAGGACCCCAAAATAAGGTACCCCCTATTTTCGGAAACTCCCATATAATATTAAGGGAACTCCAAAGAATCCCTATGCACACACGCAGGCCCGAGGATCGACCCGATTGCAAAAATAAGCAACCCTAAGGAATAAGATCGGTGATTATTCAGGCTTCCATGTTGTAATTCTAACCCCAGGGAGCCCAATACCCCTTAATTAAGGAATATAGCTTAAATCATAATATGAGGCCGCTTATATTTTGAGCCAAATTCCTTAATTACGGGGTATTGGGCTCTCTGGGACCCTGAACCCTGTAAACTCCTGCTAGACGCATTAGAAACCCGAAGGTTCGAAACTAGCGTGGGCCAAGTCCTACTGCTGATGATCTAAATCCTGCACTACCCATAGTAAGGAATATACCATAATTCCCATAGTTTAGGGTCCTTCAGGTAATGCAGGATTTATATCATCAACCCTCGGGATTGTGGGCTAGACAAGTGGAGCTTGTCACTGTTGCTGCCCTCCTACAGTTCCCTGCAAGTTATGCAAAAGCATACATCCTCACAACCTTCGTTACTCTTGCTATGCCCCTGAACTTCCCTTACAGCTACCCCTAAGGGTCCATGTACCCAAATAGTATATACTTTGGCCTTAAAGTTATCCCTATATAGGTACTTTGGGGCCAAAGTATATACTATTTGGGTACGTGGACCCTTAGGGTACAGTATAATATACCCCCAAGCCCCAGACGAAGTTTTCGGGCTCCTGGACTGGGGTTTGGGGTCTATGGCATCAGGACTTTATGCTGTGTATGTCTTCAGGACTGACTTCGATGTTTTTGGGTTAGGGTTTAGGCTCCTTCACTGTAATTTACAAGGGCTCCTTGAAGGAGATCTGTAAGGGTTCCTTAAACCTAGACCGAAATGTTATTGGTTCTGAAATCTCAAACCTGGAGCATCTTCAGCACCCTGAGATCCAGAGAGCCCTAAATACCCTGAAACTGAGGCAGCAGGGGCTGGCTGTCAAGGTTCCTGAAAAAGCCGCCACGTCATAGCCCCTCGCATACCTGTTTCGGGTGGTTCGGGAAATTTGGGGTTGCAGGTTTTGGGTTCCGGGCTGGGGTTGAGGGTTTGTGTTGGGCTCTACAGGGTTCGAAAGGACTTTAACGGATTCCAGAGTTGAGTTGCATCAGGGTTTGATACCTAGAGGCTCCATATATACTACCATTATCCCAGTAGTCGAGTAGGTAACCTTTAACCTTTTTTGGGTAGTATAGTCCCTGTACAATCCCTGTATAACCAAAAAGGTTAACCTTTAGTTCCCCATGACACCCGACAAGTAGGTTATGGAAACCAGGTCCCAGAAGACCAGTCTTCATATGGTTTTAGTGGCCTGATTCCATAATGGTAGTATACGTGGAGCCTCTGGGATAGGGTCGGTTTGATAGGGTTGATGATATAAATCCTGCATTACCCATGATAAGGAATATACCATAATTCCCATAGTTTAGGGTCCTTGAGGTCATGGAGGATTCTTATCATCAACAGTAGGGTCTGATGAGGGTGCCCTTGTACAAACCATGGGATTCTTAACGGGTCGTATGGATGCTTGGCATGGTCCGTCAAGGCTTTACAAGGTTGATCTCTCAAGGCCGTAACATCACCAGCAGGCATGCAAGGTAGGTTACTGGTGTTAAGGTAGTAATCACTACGAGTATGTACTTGATACTATGTTGGATCCTAAGACCCAAGTTAATCCTAAACCCTAAAAGCCGTAACGCAAGTCGATCAGGCAGTCCGTCATTGAGCTCAACAGTTTGGCAAGCATTTAAGCAGGATGCCTTAAGTCAGGGCGCCGGGTTTAGGGTTTAGGGTTCAGGTCACGCATGACTTTGTCAGGTTCAGGGTGCGGGTTTTTTCAGTTGCTGGGACGGCTTGGCACTTCCTTGCATATCCAATGTGGGGTTCAAAATAATCAAAGGACACTTGAGGGCTCATAGCGACGTTGCTTATTGAAGCTTTGAAGCTTTTTGCTCTTTCGCTGCAAGCTCTTCCAATCATTGAGACCAGAAGTCCCAAAGCCAAAGCATCAGGTTGTTCACCCGCTGCAAGCTCTTCCAATCATTGAAGTCCCAAAGCCAAAGCATTAGGTTGTTCACCCGCCAATAGGGAACCTGAGCTGGCCACTTTCAGACAACCTAAACCCTAAAGCCTTAACCCCGAAACAATAAGCCTTCATGTGCCGTCGCCGTCCGTGCTGGTGATCGCAGACAAGCCAGGTCCTCATATTTCGGGTTTAGGGTTTTTGGGGCTCGGCCGTTGGGGTTTGGGGGCATAGGTTTCAAGATGTGGGGGTTTTGTGAGTAATTAGGGTAATAATTAGGGTATTTATAGGTCCTTATAGGTTTCAGGATTTGGGGAGTTGGGGTTTACGGCTTAGGGCTTTGGGTTGAAATTATGGATTGGGGTTTAGGACTGGGGCTTTAGGGTATTGCTTCTAGGATTCAGGATTTAGGTTTATGAGTTTGAATTAGTAGTAGGACCAGGATAGATAAGGGTATAGGTTTCAGGATTTGGGGGGTTGGGGCTTAGAGCTTAGAGCCTAGGGCTTCGGGTTGAAATTATGTTCGGGTTTGGGGCTTAGCGCATTAGGGTATTGGTTCTAGGACCCTAGGACTTTGTGTGTTAGGATTTAGCTTAGGGTTTAGGGTTATGAGTTTGGATGACGGTTGTGGGTTTTGTCGTTTTGCTATTTTTAGGCTTTGGGGTTTAGGGGTTTGAGGAGCTCTAGATTCTAGATTTTCGGATATATCTCGTCAGTCTAGTCTAGATTAGTCATGATTAGTCTGGTCTAGTCTAGTCTAGAGTAGTGACTAGCGTGTCAGTGTAATTATAATTCTAGTCTAGGCGGCATGACCCTTCGCCGCAAGTACAGGTAACTAGGCTACTAGGCGGCAAGCCCTTCGCCGCGAGTAGATTCACGTAACTAGGCGGCAAGCCCTTCGCCGCGAGTAGGGTAGGAGTAGGGCGGCAAGCCCTTCGCCCGCGCCCCGTAGGAGTTAAGCCTAGTTCCCCTCCCCGAAAAACCCGGACCCGAAACCTCACCCCCCCCACCCCCCCCCCACCTGCCGCTCAGGTGCCACAGATCGTCTTCGTCAACGCCAACGCAGCAGCCTGAGAGTGTTGAGTTTTGGGTTTAGGGGTTTGAATTAGATAATTTGATGAGGGTTTTGGGTTGGTTTTAGTTTTGGGTGGTTTATAGGGTAACCGGGTATAGGTTTTAAGCACCGGATTTTGGGCACTGGTCTAGGTTCTTCAGGTCCTTACGTACGTCGACTGTCTAAGCAAGTAAGAATTAGGGTTGGTTTGGGGTTTGGGGTTTAGGTCTTTTTAGGCTTTGGGTGTTTAGTGCTTTACTAGGGAATTTCTGGACTCAGGCAGGGCTCTCTGGCTTTGGGCATTCTAGGGTTTTGGTTTAGGTTTGGGGATAGGGAGGGCTTTGAGGGGTTTTAGGGTATAGTTGTCAAGATTTTAGGATCGGGTGTCGGGTGCTGAGTACTGGGTTTAGGGCCTAAGTTTAAGGAGGATTTTGAGGCGTTTAGGGTGTAGGTTTCAGGATTTTAGGATCGGGTACTGGGTTGAGCCATTTTGTGTCGTGTTTGGGCCTTGGGGCTTCGGGCTTCATAACCCTACATCCTAACTAAACCCTAGAGTTCTCAAGTCTGTGCTGGTACTGGGTTTAGGGAGGGTTTTGGTGGTTTTAGGGATTAGGGTATAGGTCTTAGGAGTTTTAGGCTTTGGGGTTTAAGATGCTTAGTCTGGTACTTCCAAACCCTAGTCAAATTTGTAACACTAGGCGGCATGGCCCTTCGCCGCGGAGTAGGAGTAGGTACTAGGCGGCATGGCCCTTCGCCGCGGAGTGGGAGTAGGTACTAGGCGGCATGACCCTTCGCTGCGGAGTAGGAGTAGGTAGGTAGTTAGTAGGCGACCCCACCCGACCAATGACCCATTAAGCCCAAAACCTGTAAACCCGAAATGCCACGACCGCCCCAGTCCCAGTGTCATTGTGCCGGTTGAGGTGTGGACCTGTGGTCTGGCCTCGGTGCAGGCGGTGGCCACAGCAGGGATTTGGGGTTGAGGTTAAACGATTGGGGATTGTTGTGGCCTGGATGCGGTGGTCACCGTCTGCATCATTGCATGACCACGACCACGAGTACAGCTCTGGGCCAGGCCCGTGCCCGCTGGCTCCTGGGTGCCAGGAGCCTGACAGTGTCAGTGTCAGAGAGCATCTGTGAAGTGAGTTCATGATCCCGGGCCCGGAGCATCCTTCAGCCAACCCTTATTTAAGATCCGGCCCTATGCCGGAGCCCATCGCCAAGTCGCCGAGGCGGGTACCTCTTCAGCAGACTCGCGTCAGAGTCATGGCCATCGACATCAGAGTCGGCAGCTCGGTGCCGATGGGAGTGTCGGCATATGTCGGCATCATGTCACTGAAAGCTGTTGGCCTCATTGGCCCTAAATATCCATCGGTAGCCGTGTCGTGTTACATGCGCTTGCCCATGGGTTGCAGTCACTCTGCAGCTTCTCTCTCGAACTTCAGCTTCAGGTCACTTCGTCGTGGAGAACTACGGCATCGAGCGGAGGCCTCCTGACATTCACTTTGGTTGCTCTGATGCTGAGTGCTGCCGAGGCCGGTACCTCTGCCTCTTCAACAGACTCTCGTTGGTCGTGGTCATCGTCATCAGAGTCGGCAGCTCGGTGCCGGTGCACTGCCCCTTCTTCGGAGTGTCGGCATGTCATTGAAAGTTGTTGCTGACGTGCAGTGCAGCCCAGCTCATGCATGTGCATGCTGCATGCGACAGAACAGTCAGCAGACATGTGACATGCAGGCTTAGGGCCAGGGCTTAGGGCTTAGGGCTCCATATCCGCCAGGTCCAGGCCCAGTCAAGGCTTCAGGGCAGCGGGCACACAAGCAAAAAGCACTTGTGCAGCAGCAAAGACTAGGACTAGGGAGGTTGGGCTTTGCGGCTATCGCCCAGCCATGGATGGCTGGTGGGGCCCTGGCTGGGGGGGCCCTTGCTGGGGGGGCCCGGCCTGGTATGGTCCCTACCCGCCAGCTGGCGGCGGGAAGGGCGCTGGCGGCGGGAAGGGCGCTGGCGGCACTGGCGGCGGAAAGGGCGATAACAGGACCGGCCCCAGGGAATAATTTAAAATGGGGGGGGGTTTCTAGGACCCAGAGTAGGCCCTTATTCCCTTTTAAGGGTTTAGGTTCCCTTATAACCCCCTTAAAACCCAAAAGGGCACCCTTTTTCTTCCTAGGTGACTCTTGGGTCTAGGTTTGGATTTAGAGCTGCAGGTCGACGACAAGCACCCTGAGAGGGCAGATGATCAGCAGACTGGAAGGCGAAGTGCAGCGCCTTGAAGGAGACCTGACGCAAGCCAGGGTGGGTGTTGCCAAAGCCCCAGGTAAGCCCCATCCCATGCATTAATAACCAGTAGCAGTAGTAGGGGATCATGCGGGCCACCTCCATAGAGTAAACCCCATAAAGTTGGAAACCGGATTAAGGCCAAATAGTGCTGGGCTTCCCTATACATTACTCTTCAGGATTGAGGCTGTTGGGTTTCCAACTTTTCGGCTTCTATCCACCCACAGATCGACCTGACCGTCGCGGAGTCGGAGAGAGATGACCTGAGAGACTCCGCTTCCAGACTCCAGCGGCAGCTTGACGAGCAGCGGACCGCCCACACTACCGAGATCCTTGACGTCCAGAAGGTGGGCCACCCTAAACCTTAAACTTTCCTTGCCAGGGAGGGATAAAAACTCTCAACCTCAAACGGCCCTCAACCCCAGGCTGCTGCCGATGAGTTGCTGGATGCCAAGGCAAAGGCTGGGGCGGAGATCGAGCGGCTCGGCAAGCAGATCTCCGACATGGCGTCGAAGCACCGCTCCGACATCCACTCCGTGGAAGGGCGGCTGCAGACGTCTCAGCGCCTCTTCAAGGACCAGCGGGGTCTTCGGGGTTTCGGGGTTTGGGGTTGGGTCGGGTTTCTATTA